ATAAGAGGCTTATTTAAACCTTGTCTGATATTTAGTTATTTCAGACATAGCGATAGTTTGCTTCCCATCAGTTGGGGGTTTTCGACTATTAACTTTACCACATCAAGTAAACCATCATAGGTACATTGTAGAGAGCGTTGACAAGTTAGGAGATAATTAAAGCAGTTAGGTTGATGCAGAAATTAGCGAGAGCATTGGTTTGATTTGAAAACAAATCTCTAATTGTTAGAAAAAATGCTTAAAGAGAGGAAATCGATATAAACTAGCCAAAATGTTTGGGAAGGCTTCAAATTAAAACGGATAAATATTTTTGTTGAGTGTTGTTGTTTTCAAAACATAAATGTTTTGTAGTTTTAATGTGTAATTATTCTAATATCGTTAAAGAATCAATGTTATAAATTACATGCATTTTAAACTGTGAAATTTGATTAGATTTTGATTTTAATAGGGCTTTTTTTTAACAAATATTGTTAAAAAATAAAATTTAATTGTGGCCATGTAAGTCCATAATGACTAAGGTTATCTAATTACCTAATTTAATTATTTATAACTAACTGCTTACCCTTAAAAATTATCTCTACGTATTAAAGCGAGTTATTGCCTTTCATTAATACTCACTGTGGTCACAAGATAAAACACAAAAACGTAAAAATTCAAGTAAAACTTAATCTTTGCATCTAGTGAGACTTAAAATAATACAAAATAACTTATCACCTCTGGTGCTTTAATGGCTTATTGGCACCTTGAAGTATATTAACTGGGTTTCAACCCCTGAAACTCTACACGAAGCTACGGCACTAACTGCATCAAACAGAGGCCGACTAACTTTCAACATTTACGAACCTACATCAGCCTTTCATCTGCCTATATCTACATCATTCAACCTGCCTACATCAGGCCTTTCAGGTTTGTTGTAATGAGCAGGTCTCTCTCTAGATAAGCAGCAGCAATAACAACATTCAGTCTTCTGTTCTGAATCATGCTGATTATGATCTTACTTCTCATTTTAACCTATGCCGTTTGACATAAAATCTACCTGCTATTTACTCAACCTCTAGACTGACCAAGTACATGATAAAATGAGACATTTAAAAAAATCAACATAAAGCTAACTGTGAGTAAAACGTAAATGTCACTTATCTTCTTTCAAATATGTCCATCGTTATAAGTGTAAAAATATTTAATGCTACTTGATAAATTGCATAAAGTTTTATTCTCAACTATTAATAATTATGTTAATTAATTCATGTTTAGTAATAATGCAGATACTTAGAGATCTATTTTATTTTTTTAGGATGGTATCACAAAAGTGAAATTCAGGCATAGATAATATTTTTAATTGAATTTATTCAGTTCCCATTTGCTCATATGCCCTTAATTTTTTTCATTAACGGACCTTAAAAGTCCTTAAAAGTACTTAATTTTCATGTGCAGAAATGTGTACGAATCCTGTCGAGAGAGCGTGCTGAGCTCCGGAAACGACTGAACCAAAGAGTCGGGAGCTGTGCTTTGTGTGTCGTCGAGTGCATCGCGAGTTGTAGCGTGGAGAGTTTCGAGAGTACGTGTTGTTCCGAGCACGACCAAGCAGCGTCGGGAGCTGTACTCTGGTGCTTTGCAGTGAAGCTTTCTCCACCGTTATTGCCTGACAGTGTGGAGGCTGTGTCGCTGATTGTTCCAGCGTGTATATTATAGATCTTCGACGACTGTAAAAGTGTTTTGGAGCTGTCCTGATTAATATTGGTAAATTAAGTGTGTTTCGATACTTCATCAAGTGTCGTCGTTATTCACTCCAAATCTACGAACCCCATACGAACGTGAGCAGAATTGCCAACTCTCCCGATTTAGGCGGGAGACTCTCGATTTTCGACCGCTCTCCCACCAACCCAATTTACAATATATTTCTCCCGACTTTTTCTTATCTTAAAATTCTCACGATTTTTAGGAACTTGGCTTAATACTTTGTTATATGAACAAAAAAATGTGATTTGGACGTCTGAAAGCAATTGAATTTCTCTAGATTATATCTAAAACAAAACCTTGCGAATTAGATAACTTCTGCTTTGGGAGTGAGAGCATATACGTATCCAGAAACTCGTTCTCCAGTTCTCCAATGGGCATTGTGCTCCACTGCGTGTCACCTGGAATATTAACCAATGAGGACAAAGCAAGCTGTTATTTGGATGTTCTTTAGTTATTTCGATCATTTTGTCCTGAGTTGTGTGAGTACACGTGCCTTCGGAAATAGTTTTAAAATTATCATCTTTTCTTATGTTCTGCGAGAAAGGTGAAATACTCGTGTACGTTTCAAAAATCGTACACAGTTGACTTTCCTTCATTATTTCCAAGGAAATGTAATAAATTTGCAATGTGTACCGCCTGTCATTGCGATTTTTCGATTTCGCATGGTGGAAGGGGATGTTCTCAACAGTGCGTACACAAAAAAACACAGGACAAAGAGTTGTTTTGAAAAAACGAAAAATTTAATTTTATTGGGAAGCAAAAGATTAAAAGTTATTGATGCAGAATATTTGTTCTGTGCCTTTACTGGACAACCTGCCACTGAATGCATCGGATCACGCTGCGCTTTATTAGAAAAAAAAATGTTTCCCGATAGTGAAATCGCTAAGAAATACTCAAGTGCAAGAACCAAAAAGGTGCAATTGTTAAAGAAATGGATTTGAAAAATAAATCTTCATTATTGATGCATTAAAACAGCTCCGTTCTGCCTCTGTAGGATGGAAGAAAAATACGATTAAAAATGTATCCAATTAGTGTTTCTTTTTTGAATCCAGAGTCTTCAGAAAATGAGTGCAGTTTACTTTCTGTCCCCACTTTAGAAGAACATTGACAGGCTTTCTATAGCCTGTACTAATTATTAAAACTTTAAGGAAAGTGTCCCTCTAGATGATTGCTTAGCACTTGGTGCCGATAATGCACCAGTATTGGTAGGCTTGAAGGCTGGTGTTCAGGCATCTTAAAAGGAAAATTCAGATTTGCAGATTATGAGGTGCACTGTCACCTCTTAAATTTAGCAGCTGAAAAAGGGGCAGCTTCTTTACCAATAAATGTTGGATGAACACATTGTTGATATTTACTATTATCTTGAAAGGAGTTCTAAAAGGAAGGGAAAATTGAAACATTTTCAACAGATGCGTAACAGCAGTTTACAATTAGAAAACTTGGATGAAGTTATAAAATCAGCTAGGATTGACACCCAGTGGAGTTTAATTGGAAAGCTGAAAGATGCTGATGGAATTTTAAAATATAGTGAACTGTCTAAAATTATGTTGGCCATCTTGACAGTTCCCCATATTAATGCAGAGTGTGAGAGGATTTTTAGTGTTGTTGCGAAAACGAGGACTAAATTTAGATCTAAAATTAGTGATGACACATTAGAAAAACTTTTATTAGCGAAAGCAGGCCTACGTGGCAATTGCTATGAACAAAATTATGAAGTTTCTTTCTTAAAGAAAGCAAAATCTGCCACTATTTATAACATTTGTACGAAAACTGATTAAAGTTTTTTTTTCGTTTTCTTAAACGATGCAAGTAATAAAAATGTTTTTTTTATGTGTAAGGTATTTTTGTGTCGCTTGCATTTAAGAATTAGTTACTATTTAAAGTTAATTCATTATTAAAAACTATATTTTCATCATTTAAAAAGTCTTTTTAACGTTATGAAAAATCTTCTGATTTCTTAAAAAAATCTCTTGATTTTTTGAGTGTCATAGGTTGGCAAGTATGGCTGAAGGAAGAAAGTAATGTCAGAAAAGGAAAAACGCAACAATTCAAAATAAAATATCGGGGCTACCCGAACGGTTTGGTAATAGCATCTCAAATTAATACGACTGTTCTCATGTTTTGATGCTGCGAATGTTGAACAAGATTCATGGAATGAAGTAACATCAAACACGATCGATAATTGCTTCAAAAGGCAAAACATTTATTACAAAATATCACCGAATGCACTATTCTATAGCATGAAAAACTATGAACAACGTAATGTTGGAAAATGAAATAAAATTTCCTAGGCCTTACCAGTTTTCGAAAGTGTTCAGTAAATATTCGGATTAATTTAATTTCTAGACAGTTATGAGAGTTAATCTGAAATTATCTGTATTAGTTTTCAACGTAATCGTCATCCCTTGTAACACATTCTTCCCATTTGCGTACGATCTTCTACATTCCGGCAGCATAGAATTGTGTTGACTATTCCAGAACTATTGGAGAACTGCCTGCAGGTCCCTGTCTCCGGCGTTTTAGATCGTCGGTGTAGTTGGCGCCTCGTATAAGTTAATAATTCAAAGCGAAATATGCTTTTATTTAGTTATCGGTTGTCAGAACAACTTACCTGGTTCCTTACGAAAATCGGCGTTTTAAATGGCCGCCTATATTGTTTATCCGTGGAGCTGGTTTTGATTGTGTGAATTATTTCATTTTAGATGTTTTCCTTTGAAAGAGTCCTTCATAGAGCCAGAAGGGTGAAGATCATTCAGAGCGAAATCAGAGGGCGAGTGTAGTAGTACCTGCATGTATTTTCCAATACAATTTTTCAATAACTGCTTGCAGGTTTGGCGGCCGCATGGAGCGTAGAATTTTGGTATTTCAGTTTGGTTTATTTAATTATGGCAAAGCACACTAGGGCTATCTGCCTAAGGGGAGGGATGCCTTAGTGGAGGACTTTTTAAGGGTGCTGGTGGTGGTGGTAGTAGATTTATGGCGCAAAGCTCTAAAGGCCATATGCGCCAAACACAGGATTTGTTTTTCAATATACAAACTAAAGTACAAATTTTAGATAAAGAAAAATGTCTATAGTTAACAGCACACTTATAAAATCGAAGCAAGTAAAAGATATTGAAATGGTGGGATGAAAATGCTGATTATGATTCAGATAATGAGATATGCAATATAGGTATAAAATCCTAAAACATTTGATTCATTAAAATTCTAACGTAAAATCTCAAGACAGAAATCAAATTAAATAATAGAAACCTGTTTCTTTCAGGTCATGGCAAGGTCGAGAGCGTGGAATGTCCTTGAGGGCTCATGGAAGTAAGTATCCTGCCCATTATTCAGGAGACAAAGGCTATGATCTTCAATCATTCGCTCAATTTGTCTTCCTCGGAAATTTTGTATCTTTACTACCCCAGAGCCCGTTAACCGCTTGAGCTAAAAAGACACAGAATCCTATGCAGCGCACGTCGGGATGCTTTTGTCTCAAACCGCGAACGACGTGAACACCACGTCGATAGGCATTTAACGCAAAAATGAAAATAACGTGGTGCACACGTCGCCTAACAACGAGATTGTTTATTTCTCGAGTTACAGCTCTGGATTGCACTCGCAGACGCGTAAATGAGACACTTTACCGCTTGTTATATTGTAGCGCACGGCACCGCAACCGTGAAGTTTAGTCGTAGCGCAAGTAGTTAAAATCTCCTGTTATGATAAAGGGCTCAGGCAGCTGCTCTATAAGACCTTTTAAATCTTGCTGAACAATGTGCTCATTTGGAGGCAAATATAGAGAAACGACTGAAACAACAATATCAAAATTTGTTTGACTAGTAACAGCTTGGAGGGATGTCGCCAAACAAAGTGCATTTGATGGATAATCCAGTGAGGTGAGGAGACCTCCACCTCCACTGGCACGCTCACCTGCAAGGTTATCCTTCCTGACGAAAGAAAACCTCCGAAATTTTGCCTGTTGTTCTGGTTTCATATTTGTCTCCTGTATTGCTAAGCATACAGGATGATAAGCATTGCTTAAAGCTTTGAATGTCGAGCAAATTTCGGTGGAAATCGCGACAGTTCCATGAGAAGATGGTGGCTATTATGAATGGTTTTTGTTTTCCCTGTGCTGCTTTTTAGTTTTTCGTGGAAGTAAATGTCTTGGAACTTCTAGACCCTCTTCTACTTCAATATTATCTGAATCCACAGATTCAGAAATCATCCCATCAAGAGAGCTATTGCTGAGACTTCTATTTTTATTAATTATTTTCTGACTCACATTTTTAGGTTTACTATGAATTACTGTTTCATTTTTGTGTATTAAATGAGTTGAATTTTCTTTTTTCTTGTTGGATGTAGTCGGTTGGGTTTTATTTGGTAGAGTCTGTGTGCTTATTGATGTTTGGGTGGCAACTGTACGAGATTTTTTAACAGCACTGGCGTATGATGTATTTGGTCGAAGCTGTGTGCTCTGGACTAATCTTCTCGCTTCGACGTATGAGATGTTCTTAGTAACTTTTGCAGTCTGCACTTCTTTTTCCGATTTCCATTTTGGTCACAAGCGAGAAAATGCTGGGTGCTCACCTTTGCAATTTATATACAAAGGCGCAGCGGTACAATTATCAGAATCGTGATCAATCTGTGAGCATCGGGCGCATGTGAGGCTGCCACGACAAGACATCTTAGAATGGCCGAAACACTGGCATTGGAAGCATCGCATAGGGTTTGGAATATAAGGTCTTACAGGAGAATTTAAGTATCCGGCTTTAATATTCTGAAGTCGATCAGGCGTGTTGTAGGTCAGGATCACGTGTTTCGTGTCAATCAACTGGCCTTCTTTTCGCATCTTGATACGCCTAGCACCACAGACATTTTGATCAGCAAACTCGGAGATGAACTCTTCTTCTCAGACACACAGAAGGTCGATCTCCGAGATCACACCTCTACAGGAATTAAGTGTTTTGTGCGCTGACACAGTCAGAGATATTTGGTTTGTCGTGAAAAGGAAGCAGACCGGGTGGCAGATATAGTATCAATAAGCAGGTCCTCTGATCGGAGACGCTTTATGTTCCTTGGCTCACCTATGCATGAATGCATATATTTGCTTACTAGAAAAGGGGACATCTTTTGCAGTTCGCCAGAAGGACTAGAGACAACAAGGAAGCGCGGATTCTCAATTGTTTCCTTGGCATTTGCATCTGTAGTCTTTTCTTATTTAGAGATTTATCAATATCGTCAATACTGTGGTTGTTTTCATTTGATTTAAGAAACATAGTAGCCATGATTAAAATAGAAATGATTCGGGTTCGACGGCCCCGCCCACCACGGAACCCAACAAGGGAACACAGAATCCTATGTTAGGGCTAGCCAGACCTATACGCAAACTGAAGCCCCACAGTCGGCTTTCCCGAAAGCAGGTACTCCCGAGAGCTTATCCCCAAGCCACTGACACAAGGACTAGTGACCAGCCGATTGACACCCGTGAGAACGACTAATGTGCCTCCCGTTTAGCTGAAGCAGAGGCCAAAGCAGTGTGTTAGGGACAGTACCTCGCCCCTTAACTACCAGGACCCTCCTTTCCAGCGACACGGGTCTCCACGCACGGCAAACACGTGGGCAGTTTTCTCGCCACTCGAAAACTAGACACAAGGACTGTTCCAGTCTCTCGTGACGAGCCTCAAACTCCGAAGAGAGAAACCACAAGGGAGAAGAGAAGGGAAAAAGTTCCAGCCAAGAGGAGAGGAGACGGAAAAGAGGATAGATCACTGGGGCTGCAGGAGCGTGACAGCCGTCTCACCAAGAAGATGATCCCCTGAAGGGCTAGGGTACCTCGGGATTGACACGGACTTTCTAAGGGAAACTTACTCGTATACACGTTACACATGGGGAAAACCACGAAAACGCCCATGCAGCCAGCCCGTTCGCGGGATTCGAACCTCGAACCGAACTACCAGTGTTCAGCAGCTTAACCGCTCTTCCGCTGGTGGGCCTAAATATGGTATTTCAGAATGATTCGTGTACCTGAAAACCCTGCATGTTTCTTGTCGGTGATCTTCCGAACTTTCCCAAAAGTTTGTGGTGTAGCATTCATGTACGATAATTCGCTAATCGTTCAAAGTCTGAATTTTGTGTATGAATTTACTTACATTTTTTCGACTGATTTCCTGTGGATGTCACTCCCAGTGGATTCACAGTCTTCACTAAGCATTTGTAGGTTCCAACATTCATAAACTTGTAGTCTATTTCCGAAACCCACATGACATCTGAAGATTATTTTTGCAGATTTTGATTCTTCTTTCACCAGTTTCATTCTCATACGCTGTTCCTTTACAGAAATGAATTATTTGACATCATCTTGCACGACGCGACTGAGTAGAGCGGCTAATATTTAACAGCTTCTACTCGCATATGTCAGATACACGATGTATATTTCACTTTGAAGTAATTGCTAAACTCAGTATTTTTCGTATTTGGGGGGTATACTTTCGTATTTTTTTTTTGTATATTTTGTATATTTTTTGTATATTTTTTACAAAAATATAAATTTGTTAACATATATTTGCATATATTTATTTTACACATATTTTTCGCATGTATTTCGTATATATTTTTCGTATTCGAGTTAAATCCGAATTCGAAATAGCGCATTCTTTGTGTACGTGAATCCATGTCGTGTTATAGGATTTGATTGCAGTTGTGAAATTTTGTTTTTGATAAAGGCAATAAGATACTGGTGCGAATATTATGTATGGCTATGAGATTTGGAAATGCTAAAAGCTGTCATGTTTTGCATAAAACAAACATCAATGCAAAAGTGAAAAACACAGATTTTGCGGGGTTTCTCCCATTCTTTCTTTGTATTAATAGGATATTTTTCAATAGTTTTGAGCTGAAAAGGGCGGGAACGCAATTTTGTGTCGTCCGCTGTAAATGCGTTGTTTCATTTTTCATTCGAGTCTGTTACCATTTGGCAAAATGTAAGATATGTGTCTTTCAAATTTAATCTATTATTCATTAATGAACTAAGCTATGTAGTAGCAATAAATCCAGTCCTCAAGAAAATTTTTAAAAACTTTTTGAATCGGATTGATTGAAATAAAAATGCATTTAATTCTTGATATATGTAATTAAAAAGATTCGGTATTTCTATAGAACGACGTTGCATATTTTTTCATTTTTCAAATATGCAGAACGTATGTATGACGTTCTCACCTCAGTCTGAATGTATATTCATGTAATATCCTGTAAAATTTTCGCTATTCCATTTGAGCCATCTCTTTTGATAACCTCTACTAACAAACCACATTAAAATTTAAATATTTTTTTTAAACAGGAAATTTTTCTTGATAACATTTCGATTTTCGAGAAATTAATCAATTTCTTACTAATTCAGGAGTTTTGGAATCGCGAGAAAGCTAAAAGTTCGGAAACTATAACCACTACTGTTAAGACCCCCGTGCAGTGGGGAAGGTTATGATTATTTATTTAAATTCTAAAATTATTCTAAAATATGCGCTTTCAAAAGTTGATTTTATTTGTTACGGAAAATTACTCTGCCTTTAAAAGAAAGTTTTTCTGGAGAATTTTTTTCTTCTTTTTTTAAAGGAAAACTGGCACGCATTCTCTTTTAAACCACACACGATCAATTACGACTAATTCCGTCTTCGGAACCGAACTTGGACAGCTACCTGTATTATGTGATCTTATTCATTTTCCACTAGATAGCTGGTGAGTTAGACTGTGTGTTGTTTTTTATATATTGGGTATGTGCTCTGTGATGATTACCAAGATGTACACAAACATCGTTTATCCTACATTGCTCATCTACTATTCTATATTACAGTTATGATTAAAGATAATAATAGATATAGTTACATATATAATATTTCCCTTTTTTATCAAAAATAATAATAATAGTAAAATTAAACATATTCTTTTAAATAATAAGGTTTTTTAACAGTCCTACCAGATCGAGTAACGTAGTTATGTCCATTTGAAAAATTTGATGATGCTATACCTCTTTCACTATTTGGTGACACAACACTTGTGTTAGGTTTTGAAGGACTTACAGGCACATCTAAATTTGTAGTGCTTCTGCTATTCTTAGTTATCTCGGGTTCATCTAGGAGTATAACTTCATTCTCACAGTTGTTTTGTATTTGCAAACTCTTTCTGATTAGTTCCTTTAAGAAGGTCTCTTCTGTTCCTTTCTACAATTCTTCCATCTGTTCTTATGATCGTATATGAACGTGGTCTTTCTGCTTCTACAGGGTTCGTAGCCGTCCTTACAAGTGCTTATAAGTCCTTATATTTGAAAATAAAAT